TATATATACAACTTGTAATGTTTATTCATCGAGATTTAATATTGTTTCAGTAAAATATCTGACTTCAATATTGTGAACTAAGGTTAATCTGAAAGTACCTTAAAAAACCCAAACAATGAAATCACTTTAATCCATTTAATTAAAAGTAATTAGTCTTGAAAGAATATGTTGAAAAACTCCTTATATTTTAATGTGAATTAAAACATATTTAATGTCATTTTCTGTTGTGTGCAGGCATTTATATTTATTTGAACCATCTTTTGGACAGGAAGTGTAGTGGCTCCCTCCTCGGCAGTGGTCCCACCAGGASGCTGCAGAGGATCAACTCCCAGGAAGAGCTGGACTTCCACGATACATCAAGTGGTTCAGACCAGTCAGAACCCTGCGGAGAAGAACTGAACTGGACCTTCAGTCAGGATGAAACATTTGAGAGGTTTGTAACAAGTCAGACTGAGAAGCTAAAATAAGATCATGTAATAAACTTTGTATTCATCTGTTGTCATTCAGAGAAATCCTGTTCAGTCCTGAGCAGCCGACAGCCAAGAAGAACTTCAGATTCCAGTCAAAACCACAAGGGAGAGTGTGCCATCAGACAGGAGCCAGAGTCAGGTCCAACGCCAAAGTCACTGTCCCCAGACCCTTCCAGATGATGCTGAGAGAGGAGGAGAGGAAGAGGCACAGGGTGAGGACGCGCTCCGAGATCGAGCTGGAGAACACGCTGCTGAAACGAGAGCTAGAGGAGCTCAAAGAGTGTCAGAAGAAGTTCMGAGCGACCCCCGCGCCGGCCCACATCCACCTGCCTCTTTACGAAATCATCAGCCGCCGCCCCAGAGGCAACAGCGGCGACCGTTTCAGGGAGCGGAACCGAGAGAGCAACAAGGCCTCACCCAAACCTTTTCAGTTCTTGGAACGAGAGAGGAGGAAGCGGGAGGCCAAGCTTGCTGCGGAGCTGGGGAGCTTTGGTCAGAGAGACGAGTGGCAGCAGGCCTTCAAGGCCAGGGCGGCGCCGAGCTCGGCGTACGGGAACAGACACCAACARCGTCAGGCTGTTTTTATCATGGAGAGGGAAGCTACTGAAGGCCAAAGTGATCAAAGCTCCGACCCGGAGCCGGACGCCCAGCAGTCAGACAGCTCCCCTGACTTCAGCAGGCCGCAGAAACCTCCATCCTCCAAGCCTGTGAAGAAGCAGATAGAGGTGTCCATCCAGATGATGAAGGAGAGGAAGTAGTCCCTCATCAAGAACATCTGCTCACATCTGCAGCAACAACGTGACTRCATTAAAGTAACAATAACTATTTTGTCTGCCACCACCGTTAGTGACCACTGTAGTTTACAACTGTTTATGATTATATATTTTTAGCATGGAGTTCTATTTATCTTGTAGGTTATGGGTCATTGTGAAATAAACTTTATTTTGAAGGACATGTTTCTCTCTTTTGTTCATCTTTCTAAATTCAGACTCAGCAGCTGAAGCTGAACTCGTGGTCACGTGGAATTCTTATCACAATATTTCAACCAAACCAAAAAAAAAATACTGTATGTCTTTTAACATTTTATTAAAAAATATTTGAATTGATGAAGAATTCAAATAAAATCGAAGACAATAAGATTTAAATCTATGTTTCTCGGCCTTGGGATTCCCCCGGATGAGCTGGCCCAAGTGGTTAGAGAGAGAGAGGTCTGGGTCTCTCTGCTTATGCTGCTGCCCCCGAGACCCAACCCCGGATAAGTGGAAGAAAACGGACGGATGGGCAATAAAATTTAACAGAAAATTGTGCAGGAATTACTTTGACTTTTGTACACTTAAGGCTTTGGATAAAGTTTAAGTAGTTAAATAGTTCACTTATAATTTGGTGAGAGATGTTGTTGAGGGATTTATCAGCACTGCAAGAAAGGAAATGAATCTATCAATATTGCACCAGCTCTAACAGCATAACAAGACCCAAGCTGCATTAATGTTTAACAAACTCAGCTTATTTGTTCAGCGCGGTGGGCCACAGTTCACTCATCTTTCAGCTTAGACCAGACGACAAGGCAGGCCAGAGGACGCAGTGCTCCGTCACAGGTCYAACTGCATCAGGGACCAGACAGCAGCAGGTGAGTAGGCTGAAGCAGCCACCTTCAGTTTTTCAAATAAATAAGCATCTAGTCGCTTAATCAGTGTCCAAGAACAATAAATCTGCAGGAAACAGACATTATCAAAGGTAACTTTRGAAGAAATAACCTTGTGGTCAAGAGGTCATCATCAGGAGAGTTCTCCTTCATGCTGCAATCACAAAATTGTTATGATGTGTTGAACACTTCCAGAGGCTGGAACCACCATGCACAGGTTGCAAGACAAGACACACAAAGACAAAACTGATAACACCTGGGGTCAGATCAGACATTCCAGTTAACCAYGCATGTTTTTGGTCTGTGGGAGAAACCAGGTATACATCATATCAATGTCAGAAAATGTCAAATTTGATGAAAAATGAAAAGATTTTAAAACTGGAGTGATGTGTTCATGCCTTTTTTTTGTTCCAGTCAAAAGATTAACTGCAGCGTTTTGAACTATTTGTAAATGCTGCAGGGATGATTGATCTAACCCTACATATAAAGACTTACAATAGTCCAACTGAAAAGTAACAAAAGCATGGATAACCTTCTCAGGGCCGTTGAAAGGGAGATATGGTTTCGCTTTTGCAATGAGTCATAACTCCACTTATCTGTTTGTCCAGTTTGAGATAGCTGTCTATWAGAAACACCTAGTGGGGGCCGCTGAGCAGGAGAGGAAAAACTCCAGCCAGTGAAACCAGGAAAGAACTGTGCCTTTAATACCTCATGTAAACTCCACCCAGAATAAGCTGTCATGGTCAGGTGTAAAGATCGGACAGAAAATTAATGAAAAAGCAACCAAAGTACTACTACTACTGCTACTACCACTACTTCTACTACTACTACTACTAACAACAACAACAAAAAAGTAAAAAAAAAAATCTCTATAGACATTCAGAATGTGGGAACTATAGTTAAAGCTTTAAATGAAAACACCAAAGTCTGAATCTTTAAAAAAAAGTCTTAAAACATTAAGTAGTCACACAAACAACCACCAGATGGAGGTCAAACATTAAAATAACCAATCCTTCAAATGAGAAGAGGAAATAGAAAGAAAAAAAAGAACCTCCTGCATTTTCATGTTCACCCAGCTTGGCAGAGAAGGAGTGTCATTTGTTCCTCCCAGTGAGAGCAGACGTATCTCAGAGCTCAACTCTGATTGTTTCAAGAAGAAAGCACGTTTCCACAAGGAAGCAGCGCTGCTTGTCTGCTGGCTTTATGGGAGCTTTTTATTCTTTTATTCTCCAAATGCTTTGCACAGTTTCAGGGAGGATGAAGTTTGTGGTCTTTTTGCTGGTATATGGTGAGTGAAATCTTTTTTGTCTTCCTTTGTTTTTAACTGAATTACAAAAACCAGTGAGCCTATTGTTGCATGTTCRTTACTGATATGGAGGAAGAAAGGAATCAGGGAGGTGTCAAAAACTGTTTCTTTGGTTTATAAGGGCACTGTCAGATTTGACAGCCTTGGTGATTTCCCCACGTTTTGCCCCACCCATAGTTATTCACCTGAGCGGGAATATTGTCACCATGAGTCAGCTGAATGAAATCAGTGCAGCCCGCATCATGAGCGTCTCCACCTTTATAGTTTTACAAAGGGAATTCATCATCTAGGTAGCACAATTTTTTACTCAGCCTTTCCCTGACCGATTTCAAAAATGTTTTAAATAAAACAGAGGTAATTTCCTTGACTGTCCTTGAGCAGTTCCATCAGCTTAACTAAAATAAAATGTTAAGCTGCATTCTTTAGTAAGGGGGTTTCGTAAAAACAAAAAGGATGCAGGATAGAGACATTCATGWGCTAAATGTTAACTCTTTACCCCAACTTTTAATCTTATGTTAAACTATGCTTATCTTTCCCTGCCATCTGCTACCGATATGCATTACTATGGTTTCTATATTATACCTGGAATAAATAACACAACCACATTGAGCTTTTTGATAATACATGCTTTGTTCTTTTTTTTTTTTTTGTCCCAGTTGGTCAAATCTGGTCCTGTGTCTCTCAGCAAATCAACTGTAGCATCATCCAAATGCTGAGTGGAACAGTTTACATCATCCCAGACTTCCATGCTACAGACTGCATCTACTCTTGGTGCAACATTTCTGTAAGGGTGTAAAAATAAAATGTTTTGTTTTCTGACGGGAAAAAAAAGAACCTGGGACGTCAAACAAATGCTTCAAAACTAGCGTAAAACTGTAAACTGAGAGTATTTTCTAAAAATTATTCTGTGGTTTACAAGATAATGTTTCTTATTGTAGGCAGGCTTCATTTCATGAAGGTTTGTGTGTCAGACAACACCCCAGTCTTAGAGAGTTTACCTTCTCTTGGTTGTCTTTAGAACGTGGTCTTCGCTAACAATGGTGGGAAGATAAATGACTCTGTGGCTGCTTCAAACAAAACATTTCTTCACACCTACAAGTGCTACGAGTGGATGAAATACATGCGCAGCTGCATCTCTGAGGTACGAGGCATTGAGTTAGTCATCATAAAACATATCCTTCATTTTCATTTTCACACTTTCTGCTTCCTTTTTGCCCAGGGTGACGTAAAAACTGTCACATGTGTGGGTGAGTATCTGACGGCTTATACTGTATCAGCTGATAGAAATATCAGCCTTTTTTGCTTTGAGTGTTTGATTTATTCAGACAGTTCAATTTGTTAAATAGTCAGAAGTTTTAAAAAATGTGGAAGAAAAATTATATTGGCGTTGACTTTAACTGGTGACTTGATTAATTTATTTCTGATTGCAGCTAACTGCACAGTCGTCGAATCCTCATTTCTGTCAGCAGGTAAAGGCAACGACCTGATCTGTAAAATGAGATTTCAGTTTAGATGTGTGTCAGGTCAGAAAGTTATTTGTGCTCTTCTTGGTGTCTTCAGCAAAMCACTGGATCACTCTGGTCGCCGGCTGTGTCCTGTTACTGCTCATTCTAATCGTGTGTTGCATTTTCAAAGACAAACTATGCAGGTATTTTTTACTTCCATCTGTCTAAATGTATCGTGTAACCAGCGCTGCCCTAAGGTGTTTAAAGAGAAGTGACGAGTTGGATTATTTGATTTTGCAGCTGCAGCAAACGTCTGTACAGTGCGGTGAACCAAAGGAGCAATCAGGCCAACGAGGAGGAGCTCGAGGTGCAGCATCCCTAAAAAAACAACAACATCTCAATCTTTAGGTTGACTTTGTCAACATTTATTGTTAAATATAATGGTCTGCGTTAGGAACCATTTTCCAGTTTTTATTAGCTTGGAGTTTCTGTTACTTCATTGATTTTTATTTTCCTTTTACATTTTTTAAGTACACCCACCCCACCCACTTAAATCCTGATGTTTTAAAGTGATAAACATATTCATTTAGTTTGTATTATTATAGTTATACCTTTTTGTGTTATATTTTAGATATTTATATTATAGATGTTGAAACTCAATATGCTGCCTATCTTTKCTATATAAGCTTGATTTTACTATCTCAGTATGGAAACTTTAACAAAAAACTATTTCAGATGTTGGAGATATTATTTTCACGTCAAAAAAAAAAAAACAATATAGAGGCAGGTCAATATCAGCTAAATGAGGTCTGTTTTTTTAACTTATGAGAGTTCCTCATGTAGTTTGAGTATTTAGAGGGAAACAAGCCTAAACATTTCTGTTACAAACATTGAATTGATCCTGGATTTCTTGTATAACAAGATACAACAATCCTGCTTCACTTGTCAAACTGCACAACYCACATCCGATTTCCAAAATCTCCTATAAAAAATGCACCAGCAGTATTTAGACATCAAAAAGAAAAAAAAAACAAGTAGGGTTCTTCTTTAGTGAAACGTTTCATCTCTCGTCCAAGAGACGTCTTCAGTCTGATGAGTTTCAGGTGAACTCAGCCTACTAATTTTTTCCTTTTTGATTTTTTTCTACCTGGATTTCTGAGATGCATCAGGACAGTATTTAGACAGTTTGACCGGTTTGTATTTTTTCACAACCATCAGTTTCCTGACAATAACTGGTGCACATGTGAATAGTCTTTGTGGCTGTGGAAGCCTCTTTGCAGCACCAGTGAGTGTCCTTTGAGATCCCAGACCCAGTATTTTTGTAGTAATCTTTTTAYTTTGAATTTGAAAACATATAAGCTGTGAAGGCTTTCATGATGGTGACTATATGCCAACTCTGAACTTTTCATCTCTCTTGACAATCTGAAGCCTTAACAAAAACCTGTAAGTTTGTTACAATGAAACAAATGCCTTTAAATGTTTTTGCATTTCTCAGCACTTCTAAGTTTGTGATACTATACCTGATTTAATGAGTAGTAATTTCTTATATTTAATAGATTAT